CATATACTATGAAATTGAAATCATGGTCTCAGAGTCAATACCTTTTTTCATATACACTTATTTTTGAGTATCTTAAAACCATCGGTACATCCAAACCAACAGAATGTTTTTATTTTCCAGTACTGCTGAATTAGGGCCCAAATGCCTCAGATGTAAAAACAAATTCTTATTTTCTAATATATCATAATAACTTAAAGTGTGAGGTTGATTGTTGCCATATGTGGTCTGGAGCGTGCTGAGCTGTAATGCCTGTGACTAGTGCCATGCAGTGTCAGAGCCGGCAGGGACTTGGGTCTAGCCCAGCTTGCTCCTTGGAGCCTCCAGTGTTTCACCAAGAAGTTTTTAGAGACCTGGGTGGGACATGGGTCAGCCTCACTCTCTAATTAAGGAATAGGTCTGGCCTGGCCGGTGTGGCTCGGTGGTTGAGTGTCGACCCACGCACCAGGAGATCGCCAGTTCGATTCCCGGTCAGGGCACATGCCCAGGTTGTGGGCCCAATCCCCAGTGGGGGGCATGCAGGAGGCGGCCAATCGATGTTCTCTCTCATAGATGTTTCTCTCTCTCTCTCTCCCTCTCCCTTCCTCTCTCTCTAAAAATCAATAAAGAAAAAAAAAAAGAACAGGTCTGTTTTTAGTTGTTTTATATTGGAGTTTTGGAATAAGTTTAAGCTTACTAAAAGTCTTCTACTGAAGTTAACCAAACTCTCCTCTTACCCCCCCTTGGCCGGCCTCTCATTTTCACCTGAGGACATTGAGGTCCGGAGCTACTGTATGATTCTCTCAGGTTGTGTGCTCAAGATGGCTCAGCTGGAACCAAACCCAGTCTGGATTATCTTGATTCCTGGCCCAGAATTCTCTCCTCCTACTTTGCTGTCCCTCAAAGTTTGCTCCGCTTTATAGGTGTTACTGGGGAATCAAAAAACATTGAGTGGGACCTGTGTCAATTCTAGGGATGCAAAGAGGGGCAAGACATGCAGGAACCTGCTGCATGGAGCGTGGTGGTTGACAGTAGCCACTGGCACCAGTATCTCCTCCTTTTATCTAAAATTGGTCCTTCCTATTCCCCTCTGATGTGGCTGAGTGGATTGATTGTCGTCCCATGGACTGAGAGGTCCCAGTTCAATTCCTGGTCAGGGCACATGCCCAGGTTGCCCCAGTAGTGGACATGCAGGAGGCAGCCGATCAATGTAGCTCTCTCACATCGATGTTTCTCTCTCTCCCTTCCTCTCTCTCTAAAAAAAATCAATAAAAATATATATTAAAAAAATAAAATTGGTCCTTTCTAGATGATTCCTAATGCCTCACAGTATTCTAAAACTAAGTTATGGTGATGGCTATACAACTGTATACATTTAATTCAAATCTTCGAACCATACAATTAAAATGGGTGAATTTTATGGTATATAAATGATATGCCATTAAAATTAGTGTTTTTTGTGGTGGTGGTGGTGGTTGGTTTTTGTGTTTTAAGATAGGGGCTCACCTGCCCTCCTTAGTTAATAGGGATATTGGGGGGCATAAAACAAAATGGCCTAGTGAAACATTTCAAAGGCATGCTAATACTTTCTTGTAAATGTTTTGTCACTATGTTGGTTACAAGTCAATTCCATAGTCATTTGTTGACCTCCTACTAATAGACCAGGTCCTGAGGCAGCAAGGGAAGGGCTGGGGGCAAAGGGAATGACAAGGATGGATAAGAAGGGGCTTTGGAAGTAGGAGATTAGAGCCAAGTGTCTTAGAGGGGATAACTGGAAGTGTCCTCTTTCTTCTATTGAGTTTCTTCATGTCAGGGTGCCTTCTGCTTTGAGTGATAAATATTGACCTGACCACAAAGTGGTGATAAGCAGTACGAGTTTTATTAAGTTGCGTAATGAGATCAGGGACAGGCCTTCTGAAGTTGTTAATTCGACAGACATCTCAACAGTGTCAGGGCTCGGGGTCACCTCCAGAGTGTGATTTTCTTGGTGTTTCTCCCACGATTGAACTATGACTGCCCGAGTGCCCAACATCGTGTGTCTTCCAACAAGGTTGAGACCATTTTGAAAGCAGAAAGGCAGGGGCAACTATTTTCCTCATGTCTCTCTTTTTTAAGCAGAGAGCAAAATGTAACAGCTTTCCTCACCCCACCTCCCCAAGTAGATTTCCTTACATCTCATTGTTTGAAAGTAGATCACGTGCTTACCCCTAAACCAATCACCTTCAGAGGGAAGTGAGATTAATACTATTTGTCTAGATGTACTACTATATTCATTCCTAGGACTGTGGGACGGGTCCCTATTCCTGAATATAATGCCTGAACACGTTAGGATTCTATGAACTGGGAAGGGGATGTGGAATCGCTGTTGGGAAGGTAACTAACAATGTCTACCACACTTAATTAATTTTTTTGGTGAAAAGAATAGAAATATGACTCGTTCCTTTTTTTTGTTGGCCACGGGTGTCTTATCTTCTTTGTAAAATGTCTCCATGATTTCAATCCAACGAATTATCCTGAAAGCTGGACTCTGCAAGGCAGTTCTTCAATAATACCGTATTTGTTTCACTGGTGTAAGTTTTAAGGTTGAGTAGTCAGTAGTCATATTACACTAGATAGTCAATAGGAAAATTGGCAAGGAGCTGTCATTATCCAATTTGAAGATACTTAACATTAGAACATGTTCTCTTTAGAACATTTGGCTGAATCAGAATTTGGGAGGTTTGCTATTACTAATTAAAGAGAGATAGAATATTGGTAACTGTGTGAGCCTCAGAATCTTTTTTTTTTTAATTCTCACCAGAGGATAGTTTTCCATTGATTTTCAGATAGAGAGGGGGAGGGGGGAGAGGGAGGGAGGGAGTGGGGGAGAGGGAGAGAGAGAAGTAGCAATGTGAGAGACACATAGATTCGTTGCCTCTCGAACAACCACAACCAAGGCCAGGGATCGAACCGCAACTGAGGTACATGCCCTTGACCGGAATTGAACCCAAGACTCTTTGGTCTATGGGCGGACGCTCTAACCGCTGAGCCAAACTGGCCAGGGCAGGCCTCAGAATCTTTTTTTTTTTTTTCTTTAATCATCACCCAAGGACATTCTTGCATTTTTTGCTCAGATAGAGCAGGAGGGACAGAGAGAGAGAGAGAGAGAGAGAGAGAGAGAGAGAGAGAGAGAGAGAGGAAACATCGACCTGAAAGAGACACATCGAGTGGCTGCCACCTGCACGACCCAACCAGGGCCGAGAACAAACTGCAACTGAGGTACATGCCCTTAGCGGGAACTGAATCTGGGTCTCTCCAGACCACAGGCTGACGCTCTAACCGCTGAGCCGAACCAGCCAGGGCAGGCCTCAGAATCTTAAGGCAAAGTAGTATTGACAGGATTTAGAACTAGTCCCCCTCAGCACGGTTAATGAGCAAAAGACATCGGGGGCCCAGAGTACCTAAGACCGCAGGTTTCCAACACTAGAATAGGGGAGGTAATTGATATATTGGGCCACTGGACAGAAAGCAAAAGCATCTACATAGGAACCAAGTGAGTCCTTCTCTTACTAACTTCTCCCCTTCTCCTGCCTCTGTCTTATCTAGACCAACTCTAGACCACAGTGTATCTGTATTACATATTTTTATTGCCTTTATTTTATATATCACTCTTTGATTGATGTGACATTAACCATAATAAAAAACACATTTCAGTGATACAAACCGTAGTATGGACAATATCATTGATACTTACGTATATTGTATATTGCTCTAGGTTATGATCTGTCTGCAAGAACTGGCCTAATTTTGGGGATTATCTAAGGCCATTTAAAGCCATTAGGACCATTGACTTTGATTCAGAATAATAAATGCCTGTCCCAGTAGACAGGACTTCACTTGATTTTTTTTCTTTCTACTTTCTGTACTGAGTCTTCAAACCCCAGTTTTCTTTTCTTTTTTTTTTTTATCCTCACCCAAGGAAATTTTTCCATTTATCTTTAGACAGATTAGGAGGGAAGGAGGGGGGGAGAGAGAGCGAAACATCAATGTGAGAGAGCCACATCGACTGGTTGCCTCCCACGCAACCCCAACCAGGGCCAGGGACAAACTGCAACCGAGGTACGTGCCCTTAGCAGGAATCAAACCCAGGATTCATTGGTCTGCAGGCTGACGCTCTAACCGCTGAGCAAACTGGCCAGGGCCAAACCCCAGTTTTCTAAGTCTTAAAACACCTTATGAATGATTTTAGCCTTCTAAACTGCTACTTTTGTGTAAATAGAGATTTCATATCAGACAGACTTCCAAAGGCATAGAATTCAGGACATATTTGAACTGATTTTGAGTGGCCTTATTGTCTTTTCCTCTTTGGCGAGGGCTGCGGCGTATCCTCTCTGATGAACAGCCCCATCTATAAACAAGCAGGTTCCCATAGAGAGGCCATGGCATATGTGTGCGTAAAGAACATTTGGTCAGTATTTGTTGGCTATTTGTGGTTGACACATGTTTACATATAAATATATCAACATCGGCCTCTTCAGATGCACCATAATGAGTCTTTTTCATTGTTTTGAGTACCATGTCAGCTTTGCAACATATACAAATACCCTGTTTCTGATTTAGTGATGTGTGGAAGGAGATAGTGGGGGCAAATTTTAAGCTCCTTGCTTTTTGTAGATTATGTCTGCATGCACGCGGAGAGTATATAAAATGGTATATAAATTAAAGCATATGTAAAATATATACATCTATTTTCCTGAGACCAAGGAAACCTTTGTTGCTTTTCTGCCTGAGATAAGCAAAGCCATCAGTGGCATTTCATGACGTCATGTGATTTGTAAGGAGCAAAAATGAAGGGAATAAATATGCATGAGCCCAAAACGAGCAGTCTTCGGTGCTTTTCTGAGGGTGACCCTTTCTTTATGCAGCGGTTATATCCTATCTTGTAAGTGTGCTTTTCCCTGAAGTTAATGTGATGGAGAATATCTTCTCCTGGGCTAGCTCATTAGATAAAATATTTTAAAGGTTGTTTTATTTTCTTCTTACAGCCAAGGATTACTGCAAAGTAATATTTCCATATGAGGCACAGAATGATGATGAATTGACAATCAAAGAAGGGGATATAGTCACTCTCATCAATAAGGTAAACGAAAGCCCCCTCCTGCCTTCTAAACTGGAAACGGCTTTGACACGTTGACTGGATAGGACAAGCTTCATTTTAGCTCTTGAAACTCTAGGTTTTCATGGTCCTGAATTCCTCAGGAAGACTCTTGCATCTTTTCTCTTGAGCAGGCAAAGCCCAGTGTATTCAGGTGAATGAATGAACTTAAAAATAAAATAGATTCTGTTTGCCTTGGAGCCAGGCGTAGATTTGCACGGCTCTGCAGAAAATGTCTGTCCCACAAAGGCTAACCCAGAAGACGGCCTGCATGGCTGGAGAGCCTGGACCGCACAGTGGCCCTGGCTGCAAAGCTCTGGGTCAAGGTGTATCCAAGAAGGCGGTGGGGGGCGGGGACCCGGGGATTGGGGAGGAGAGGGTCAGCAGGGGAAAAAAAGGAGGGACATCTGTATTACTTTCAACAATAAAGATACATTTTTAAAAATAAAAAGGTAGGTCATGCCTCACAGGCAGAAAATACTTAAAAGAATGTTTACTGTTCAGATCAAAGACAGGTAGCATGCCTGAGAGAATTTTGTCTGTCTTGTTCGGGCTAAGAAGGTTGAACGATTTTATTATCACTACGGGCAGAGTCTTGTAAACATCCAGAGAGCTGTAAAATCTGTGTGAAGTGACGCAGCTTCATGGGGCCTGGACCACGTACTGTTTATGCTTTCATGTAATGGTACTCACCAAGTAGATGGTTGAAATATAAATTATTTAAACGATTCTTAGAATATATGACCTTTTCTCTGAGGTACAGGAATTTTGTGACGGTCAATTATGAGGAAAAACAATCTTTACGATGAACAATCCAGGTGAGTGGCAGGGAACACATAATCCCTTTAGCACAGGCATCATGGCTGTCTGCACTCACGCAGGGCTGGAGAGGTGGAGGGGTGGAGGGTGCAGGGAGAAGGGAGAAAGAACAGGGGGCTAGCATGGGAGGTAGGCTCCACTGCCTCTGGCCATTACTGAGAGGGAATGGACCATGGTGGTTCCTGCCTCCCCCCCCCCATTTCCCACCCCTAAGTGTGTCCAAAAAAATGATCGGTTTGATTTACCTTTATAATCAAGGAAACCTTTAAGAAATGGCTGTAGAGTTGTATGTTTTAAGAGACTGAGCCATACCTTGGCTGGGTTGCTCAGTTGGTTGGAGTGTTTCCCATATACCAAAAGGTCCTGGATTCGATTCCTGGTCAGGGCAGGTTCCATCCCTAGTTGGGGCATGTATAGGAGGTAGCTTATCTCTCTCTCTCTCTCTTCTTCCATCCCTTCCCCTCTCTCTAAAAATCAATAAAAACATATCCTCAGGATTGAAAAAAAAGAGCCTAAGCCAACAGTGCCAGGCAACTAATGATCCCAGAGCTTAAGTAACTTGCCCAAGGTCAAATTATTAGTGGCCCTCTCACCCACTCTGAATGAAAGTGGTACGCTAGACAATGCTAAGGGCAGGCATCTTTCTGGAGTAGAAAACTATTCCCTGCTTTGCTGATTGCTCAATAACTCACCCATCTTTTTGCCTGTAAAATATCCTCCCCTGAACTTATTTCAGTGGATCTCTGTCCGTGTTCAGTGTTTTCCGTGGCGGGAGGAAATCAGAGGAGGGGAAATACTGCCTTCTTGTTCCCTTCTGCCAAGGAGGCCGGCTGTTCTTCTCTTTCTGTACCACCCTCCCCTGCTCCCGAAGCTGCGCCTCCTCTGGGCTGCTTCTTATGCATGGGAAAGTTTCTATTTTGAATCAGACACTTAAACTAACAATTGGGATAGGGAAGTTGTTAAGTGGGTGTGGGGCATAATACAAACACTTCGATAAATAGCACAAACATGGAGAAAGGGTGAGAGCATCCCCCCCACCCCCGTGAGGATAAAGCAAGCTGAGAATTCAGTAGCTGTCATTCTTGATAGTGGGGTGGGGCTCACTTTCCTGTTTCTGTTTGGAGGGGTCGGAGGGGTCAGCCTCATTTTATTTATTTATTTTTTTCCTTTATTGATTTTAGAGAGAGAGAGATAGAAACATTGATGAGAAACAACATTGATTGGCCACCTCCTGCATGCCCCCCACTGGGGATCAGACCCACAACCTGAGCATGTGTCCTGACCGAGAATTGAACCGGCAACCTCTCGGTGCATGGGTTGACACTCAACCACTGAGCCGGACTCCATCATTTGTTTTTATTATTATTTTATATGACCTGTAATGTCAGGTCTCTTGATATCCTGTGCTCCTGCAGCCTTTGACTTATTGCCATGAATGACCTAGCATTCCAGTTCATTGGAAGCAGCATGTTAAAATGACAAGTGCCACGTAGGGCCACCAGTTCAGAGACCAGGGTTCAAATCTCAGCAACTCCACTCCTGGCTGTGGGTGTTTGGGCCTGTCACTTAACCCCTCTGAGTGTCAGTTTTCTGTGCTATAAAGCTGGCCTCACGGGGCTGCTGTGAGGATTTACTAAGATGCTGGATATAAAGTGCCTCTCACAGGGTGGGGTCTGCCAGTGAGTGGTACCTGTAATCCTAGGAACTGTCACTTCAACTTCAGCTGCTCTTTCTCTGACCTCGAAAGGGTAGTGAAAAGGCTCTTGTGTCTGGGCCCCATTTGCTGCTGGGGCTGGAATGCCATGCCATGAAGTAGGTAACAGTGGTGAAAAAAATCAACCTGAAATAGTTCCGAATTCACAGTGGGTGAGATTTCAACAAGAATTTGGAGGAAACAAAAATGGGCCATAAATATTTTGCCTCCTGAAAGTGGGAAAATGGAGTCTGCGTCTGTCAAACCCTGCTGACGTTATAGAAGAGTCTTAAATCATCCTCTGGGTTAAAGACTTTGCCCTGAGTGCATTTAGATGATTGTGTGCCATTGCTACTGTAACGTGAACAGCTTCCCCACGATTGGTTCAATGTGCATTTGGATAGTTGTCTTTATTGCACGTGTATGTTGAGATGAAAGACCTGGATTGCTGTTCTCTAAAGCGAATGGCTTTTGCTGTAGAGGTTCTCCATCTATCCCAAATTCCATAGTTTTCCTTTCATAGTCAGGTAAGGTGGTTTCCCATTGCCCTGCTCTTCTGTACTATGGCAGGTGTCCCAGGGCAGGCGCTGCCCTCGTTTTTAGCCTTAGATTGTCACTTCCTGTAGCTTTCTAGAAAATGAGTCAGACACCTTTAATGGAAGTGCCCATAAGCTCTCCTCGACTCCTGAAATAATGTACAAAGCCCTGAACTATTTGTGTGTGTCTCTGGAAACTAGGGTGAAATGTGGCAACCCGGATGGTATGTTTTTAAGTTTATTTATAAAGAATTCTTGTGGATTTGGGAACATTTCCACTTGTGCAGAACACACCTGTGTTTAGATTTTATTTCCAGTCACTCAAAAATAGCTTCTTCGTCTGTGTTCCTGCCACCCCCATCCCTGCCTTCCTGATTGTGCCCAGAGTGTGGCTGAAAGGGTTCAGAAGCTTCTGGGTCTGGTTTCCAACCAGAGGAGCTACTTGGAGAAGAGCTGAGAGCAGCCTGGTGGGGTGAGGCCAGGCTCAGCTGTGTCGATGCCACCACTGAAGGGTGCTCCTTGCCCTAGCCAGTGCCACTTGGGGCTGAGCGAGCCCAGCTGTGGAGAGGGATGATGATTTTGCCCTTGACCTACAGCCTCCTGGTCTCAGAGTGATGGTCTTTTCCTCCCAGCCACTTCCCTCCCCAATCTGGGAGGAAGGGCTTCCCATGTGACCTGTTTGTAAACAAGGATCTTTAGCTATTTCTTACAAAAATGACCCCCTGAATAGCTGTGTCTTTGACCCTTACTAAAGCAGACACAACCCTCAGTTTCTTCATGAGTATACGCCTATTTGACAACATCAAGGTCAACACTAAGAAGGATCATTTTATTGGCTAAAATCATGGAGCAGTGGAGATGGAGGGAAGGGGAAGGAGACACTATAAACCCAGTGTTGATATTCAGAGTGCTAGATGCACCCTAAAGAAAGAGGGTACCCAGAGGATTAGATACAGGTAGAAGTATAACCACCATACCAAAAAACAAGCTGGGAGTTTCGCCTTTGCCTAGGGATATATCTAACCAGGGAGCTCAAATGTTGGGGTTAGCCCTGTGGTGAGGGCAGAGTTAGGACTGAGTACTAATTACCCCAGCTTCCTCCATCTCTCCCTCAGTGTGTTTTCCTCCCTTTTTCCCCAGACAACAGTTGAGCATTCACTTAATAATGGCTCAGTCTACGTGCACGATTGCAGGCTCCCAGTGCAGGACCTTCTGGGCACTGGCAGCAAGAGCCCAGGACCCGTTAGCACCACTCCTGTTCCTCGCGAGTCTCTCCCCAGCTCAGCTTCACAGCAGCCCTGGGAGTCAGGTGGCACCATGGGTGTTCTGTCCAGATCACAAAGGAGAAACAGAGGCCCGGATGTGGAAGTGGCTTTCCCAAGGTTCTCACTGCAAGTCAGTGGCAGAGCCAGGGCAGAGGCTGACCCTGAACTTGGGGGCTAGGCAGGGCGGTACTGTCCCAACTTCCTGGAGGGCAGTCGGATGCTTGTAGTAGGTAGAGCTCAGTCACTCCCCAGGTGACCTGTGTACTCACTGAGTCACCCATTCATTGTTGCTAAATATCTAGGGCAAGGGCCGGTGAGATTGTCTTTCTAAGTTGATGACATTATCATTATCGTCATGCCATTAACCCATCCATTTGATTGTGATGCTTGCATTTTGGTGTCCACGGTTCTGATCTCGTCAGGATCAACCATGACTTTCTGATTCCATTGTCATCTCTACAGAAATGAAATGATAGTATGGAGGAAATGATGAGCTCAGCTCAGGGCTAATGTTGGTTCTTTTTATGCCCGAAGCCCTCTTGTTCTACTTCTTTCTTCCGCTTTCTTCCCATGCCCAGTATATTTTACCTTCCTCTTTTCTTGTGGACCCATGTGCCACCGAGCTTTCTGCTTGTAGTTTAAAAAAAAAGGGGGGGGGGCAGGAATCCTAAG